CTTTCGAACCCACAACCAAGAACACTTCGAAAAAGCGCCGTTTCAACAAAGAAAGTGGGTCATGCATATGAGCTCAGACCACAGAAGGACTCCGACTAGTAACCTGGTACTACGGAGTACAATATGATATCTGTTGATTCGTCAGTCGGAATTGTTTTTGCAAATTGGAATCAAGCTGCTCGTGTGATAGCTGAACAGAGGACCTGTTATTTGAAGGCCTGCCCACAGGAAACTGGTATCTGATGTAGTTCGTGGCCCGTGTTCAAGCCTCATGACACAAATCCTCAAACAATACCCTAGGGACCACAGAAATGAGGCGTTATATAACTATCACTTAGCCAGCTCCTTGAATTCTGGATTATAGCTCCGAAGAGTCGAGCGTCTGAATAATAGTACCTAGGCAGTTAACATCTCATTTTGGTTTGTCCTGATGGGCCTATCATGTACATGGTAAGGCGCAGCGAGGATCGACAGCAGGCGAGGGTGCCCGATCGGTAGAACTACATATGTACCCTAGGAGCTTTTGATCTTCCAGGGTTATTTTTTAGCCTGGCAACGCTAACAGACAGGCCGCTAGGTGTTTTGCTTCCGGGGATCCGGCAATCGGCTCTTTATGGAGGCGGCAGGCTCACAGAGTCCTACCGAGCAGGTATGTGAAGAAAAAAAGACGGAACCGCAGGTAGTAGTCCGACTTCGCCAATTTCTTCAAACATCTGCCGTGTATTGAATGAGCACGACAGAAACAGCCATCCAGACACACAGTCTTTTGACGACCAGACCCACCATTCCGGTGCTGAAACACTTGCTTCCCCTGGGTCTCGAGCAGGGGTCATGGCCGGCATCAACGGAAGGCGGGGAGCCTATCATGAACTTCGGTATTTTCGTCCAGTCGCTTGACTGGTGGTATCTCAAACTCCGTCGAACATTAGCGAAGAGGTGCTACTAGTAATCAATCGAGGGCTCGGTGGGAATCGACAGAAAGTGGCGCCATTCAACCGTTGTGCTTGGGCATCTGTGGGTTTTGTGTGCCATCGAGACGCTTACCCTGGATCTTATGTTGATATTTCGCAGCAAGTCGCGCTCGCAGTCGCTCTTGTTTTTGTGCGCGTGTGGAAAGGAGCGCCTAACGCCAACCATTTCGCCAGCCTGCGCGCTTTTGGTCACGCTTTCATCTTGTTAGAATTGACACCGAAACAGCAACTATTTCCTTGCTCCTACATTCCAGTGGGCGGCGCTGTGTATCCTGTGCTCGCACTCCAGATCACAATGGACAAGTGCCAATGCCAAGGACAATCCGTTGTTCACACTCCTTCGTCATCCATTCCTGTGCCCGCCACCATCCGGTAGGCGCGACACGGACATGGTGGGATCCGAAGAAACGTAAACGCGGCGTTCGGCATCAGTGTATCAAAAGATGATGTAACAGGCGTGTTGCCGTGGCATGTTGGCGATACAATGACGTCTAGCTTTCTTGCGTCGAGATAGGATTCGATGGCCCAACGCTGCAGAGCTCAATCGTAGTCATTCCCATCATCAGGGACAGCAAGTGAACGGGAAGGGACAGCCGAGCGTCTCTCCGTGCCTGCCAAGTGGTGCACAGCAGCGCCCCTCGCCCCTTTCCCTTCGCGCCTTCCGTACGAAGGGCGCTAATGTGTCGTCCAGCGTCCAACCACCACAGCACCTTCACGCCTTCACGCCTTCGAGCGACCCTGGCTTCCATGCAGCCACGGACTCAACTCACCCCATGTTAGCCATCCATCGCCAACCATCTTGCTAAAGAATTTGGTCTCTCTTTCATGCGGCTGGTCGGCTACTAGTCTCTCATTTCGCCTTCATCCGATCCAGCAAAGCTTCAGTGTCTCTAGTTGTCAACCGTTGTCTCTCTTTTGGCTTCCCCGTCAGTCAACCGATCAAGCTGCTCCGTACTTCGTACTCTGGAACACGATGAGAGCTAGTCTGCACCGCCACTCAAAGATCCTTCTCCCCCGACGTACCTCGACGTTCCTCGACTTGCCATAATCAAGGCCTGCCACGCCAAGGACGCAGCCCAGTTTATCCAGCCGTCGCCACACCCTTGTGTTCCGGATTCTGTTACGCATGCCCTTGACTCCGGGTTTACCTCCAATCCTTCAACAATTGTGTCACTGCCGCCAACCTCTCTCGCTTCGACTTCCTGCTTTCTCGCTGCGTCTGCTACCTGGCTTCAACCTCAACCCGTTCATCCACGTTCATGAAATTCCCACTTCCCATTCACTTTACAGCAATTTTCGACCTGGCCTTTTCTCATCAAAGCGTATCCCTGCAACCCACGACCAACGAACTCCACCGTCATCCTGTGGCGCAAATTAGGCCTTGTCAATCTAACAAGGAAGTTGACAGCACCTCGAGTCCTGCCACTATCGGGCGCACCCAGCCCTCCGGGCCATGTGCTAAATTTGCCAGTCGTATCCCGTACGCAGCACAGCAGAACGGAAGTCCTTGAATCGACCCTGACCTCCAATACCTTTTGTAGGAAACGTCTCGTTCACTAGGTTGGCAGCCAAAAGACCAGTTTGGTGCTCCGTACGGAGTACGTGGCTGGCACACCAAAAAATCCAAGCACACGCTCAACGAAAAGCCACGTACCGTCCCCCGCCGCACCTCGCGCGCTCTGTCAAGGCAGACGCCAACACACCCGGACAGACACCCACGGACATGGTCTCCAGTGCCAAACTAGCTTCTGGTTCCAGTCTCGTTCTCCAGCATCGTTTTCCTTCTTTCCATCCAGTCTGCAACCTGACCGACCTTCGCGGCTCTTGATGACCTTCGCTTGAACGGCTGCCAAACCGCCAATTTTACTCTTTACTTAGGCCTGTTGCTGCTCTGTCACTCTTTCACCCACGACTTGCTTCACCTGTTTCGATTCTCCTTGCGGCTGTGCCGGTCCGGTCCTCTTTGGCCACTTTGTGCTTGGTCTTTGTCTTTCCCCCTAGTCTCTTGCATCCGTCGCCCACTCAATCAACTCGTCCGCCGATACCTCCTTTTTGCGCACGCATTTCCGCCAGACAAGATTTCCTATCGGCTTCTTGTCACTACTGACTTCGCCATCTTCGCGCCCACGAGTCATTACCGCCGTATTTCGCGATCCGAGTCGCTATCTCGTTCCTTATGCCAGGTTACGCTTCGCAGTATTCTCCGTCACTAGTGAAAATGGAACGCTCGCGGCCATATGGTGGCCGAAAGCGAATGTCGCTGGGCAATATTCTTGGTGACCCTTTTGCGTTGGCGACTATCTCCATCTCTCTTGTTGGTCGTCCCACACTCTCATAATTGTTACTCTGACATGCCTCATCAACGCCATTTCACCACGGCGCTTCTTCGTAGTGGCATGAACATTCACTAACAAACGCATCAATAGCTTGCCTGGTTTATTACCTTTATTTCGTGCGTCGTCGCCCAAGTCCAGGCCAACAAGAATAAAGGACTGCCTGAGAAGGACAACCCCGACGGTAACTTCCCTCCATTCGCTTGGTGGGCTGTCGTTTACAGTCTGTTCCTTATCGTCGGTGTTGTAGTGGTGGTCGCCAGCGATGCTATCCAAACATACCACGTTGCTGTTACCGGTTATCTGGCTGGAGGTATGGTTCTGGTGACCTCTGGAGTCAACTCCCTCGTCTATTCCAAGAATGGGGCTAGAGAGGCCGCGGCTGCTGGTTTCATACTCCTGTCCATGGTAGTCATTGTTTGGATCTTCTACTTTGGCTCAACGCCTTCTTCAACACCGCGGGCGTTCTTGGATTCATTCGCGCTGTCCAAGGACTCTGGTGCGATGCATAACCAAGCAATGAACGGTTATGGTGGTACCGGTCGCCCTGAGACATCCAACTCGGTGCAGCCGCCGCAGATGTATACATCTGCTCAGCTTAATGGTTTTGAGAACCCCTCACCCGTCGGTGGCACATCTCAGGCTCCAACTGCGCCTACCATGCCGACATATGGCAACAACACGATGCAGTCAAACAACAAGTCCAACGATGAAGAGGTTCTCCCTCCCATTGATTACCCATATCAAGCCAAAGCCATCTATAGCTACGAGGCCAATCCTTCAGACGCAAACGAGATTTCCTTCAGCAAGCATGAAATCCTGGATGTATCTGACGTCAGTGGACGGTGGTGGCAAGCCCGGAGACGGGGCACCAACGAAATTGGCATCGCTCCTAGCAACTACCTCATCCTATTATGAGCTAACGACGAGGAAAACCCACAACTCACGCACACTCACAAATCTTTTCATACAGCGAGATGTTAAAGAAAAGATATGACTTTGGACGAACAACACCATATGTAATATCGTCACGCCCAACCTCTCTCCCGTTCAGTGGATCGCCAGTCACAATCGGACTTGACTTGCTGATTCGCTGTTATTTCATGTAACGCCTTATAGCGATGACTGCGGAGCATCTTATCTCCCGCGCTTGCTTTTCACTTCGTGTTTTTGCTATTGATGTTTTATTTTATCCTTTGGCAAAACTATGGGTTCCTGGGACATGTATTGGATGGAGTACATTTGGACGACTATCCCCACACTGGCATCGGCAAGAATTTTTTCTGCCAAATCAACCTTGATTGGTTTTCTTGATTTCTGTTCTTCACTCCTCTTTTTTTTTCATATCTTGTTTATTTTCAATATAGCTGGTGTTCTCGACAAAGGGTGGATTGGTCCGATCATGGTCCAGGACGTACTGTTTTAGTAGAGGTCCGACAACGAGATAGAGGTACTTTGCCTCACAGGAATGTCGTTGTAAGACTGAGGCCGGGAATTATGCAAAGAGCGAGGCGAAGGAGAGGGCTGGCGCGACATGTGTATATTGTGAAGTCGCAGTAGTGGTTGAGAGAACCGGATGCCTTTCTAGCTGGTGGAATATCTGGTCCATAGGTCAATAAAGCTGAAGCGAAAAAAGAGCACGTTGTAAAAAGTGCAAAGTCTGTGCCATGACAAATTGCCCAGATTATTTCGCGACATGGCCGGCGGAGCATACTCGCAACTCTCACTTGTGCCCCCCTTCCCCGTAATCGGGGATACCAACGATCGTGAAGCGGGGACAAGGTGGATAGTCTTGCGTCAACGCAATCGTCATTGGTGTTGGCCGGGTGTTTTAACCTCCGCTAGTTGCTACTGTTGAGACAGAATACCTCTTCGGCTGCGGCAAGGGGAGCTCGCTGAGATAACTACCCAGGTATGTATATGTTACTCTGAGCGGGGGGACAAGCAGTGACATGCAAGCCATTTGAACCGAGATGAACTACGTGACAGACCATATATATATGAATATATGTATTTATTGGACTAAAAGCCGTGGATATCTGCAACACGGAGCCGTGTAAGACCACGAGCGCAGAAATCGGGCAAAACGTGAACACAAGATGATCAAAATGCACCTCTCACCCCTCCTCCTCCTCACGCCTCTTACTGCGGCCCTCCAAGCTGCCAACTTCAACGTCTCGGCGGCCCTCGCCAACGCCCACTCCTGCGGCCAAGACTGCCAGCGCCTCCTGG